CTCTAATGAAACTGTAAAATGAAGCAATAAGTGTGAAAAACCATTTACCCATTACGCCTGCTGTATCACCGAGGCTGGTTTCATATTGCTTTAGCGTACAGTTTCTCATAATAGTCTACAAAAATGGTATAAACACCTACTATAAACCTGAAAAAGGTCAACAGACTGGGATTTATTAGACCCTGCATTCAACACATATTGAGCTGGTGGAGATTACTCAATGAATATTTATATATATGAATATTTATAAGGCTATATGACACTTTGGAAGACAATGCTTCCTGTTGGGTGCTGTTACTAGTTTTCCTATAAACTGCTCATTATGCCATTTCCCCAGTGTCTCTGTTTAACCTTTTTAGCAGTTTGAATAATTTAACATTTACCTTCCAAATCCAGTGAGTCTAAAAGACACCAGTGCACATCCCAGAATGCCTCTGTTTGTGCGTGTGCCACTTAACAATCTCCTGAGCGTGGCATACAGTTAAACCTGATGACCATCGAGATCTCTTTTTTTGTTCTTTTCTTCCACTAACTTTGGTGGATTAGTACGAAACCTCTAGTTTATCAGCCTGACCTGTCTCTGTCTAACAATAACATCCGAGGCTAAATATCATATGTCTGGTGTCCCTGATCGCAGCACTGTGTGCCCTTTTTTGACTGCCCCGCTGCTCTGAGAAAATTAGAAAGAAAAAAAACTGCCATCACAGTCTGTGCTTCTCGTATGATTTGTTTGAGCAATCAGTCATTTTTTTCCCACGGCGAAGTAAGCAGACGCAGAAAGATGTGTGAGAACTCAAATGCCAAGCACCTCATCTTCATTTGCTCCAACTTTAAGCTGCAAGTTTACATGAGAAAAGTGAAAAACAAAGTTTAGTGGTTCAAAAACAAGAAACAGAGGAAGTTTGAATATAAATATATATATATAAATATATACATAAACTGATGAATATACTGTAAATTGTTTCTTTTTTTGCTCTGTTTTCCTCTGTACATAGGTTTGCATATTTTATAGGACTTTTACTTCTATCTACAAGGACTGGATAAAGTAATTTAAATACTTAAAAAAATATATGAATGAAAACATGATAATGCTCATTAAAACCAGGTACAAAAAAAAATATTCGCTAGGATACGGTACAAACTGTAGGACCTGACCAAGGCATTTATCCAGAATACAGTCAGGGAGAGCATTGACCTCAGTTAGAGCTTAGACACACATTGACCTATTTTATAAAAAAAAAACAAAAAAGAAATACTTTAATGGGTTCTATTCATTTATCTGTTTGTTTAGATATTTATTTATAAGTCATGTCTGAAATGATAAGCATGCTTTCATGGCATTATTTTTTTATGAGTTGGTACGTGACCAAATAGTTTTTATATGACATGCATGGGCCACTGTTGTGGTCCACAGATGATCATTGTTCCTGTCTGCAGGACCATGCCTTCAGAACTTCTTTGATGACGGAGAAAAACGCTCCTTTTGACCAAGTGATGTCAAAGACCGATTTGAATTATTTATTTCATTGTCTGTTTATTTATTTGTTTATTTATTTGTGCTGTTTGAGCCAAGATCTGAGCTCTCATTACTGACACTGATCTGTTTGCTTGCATCGCGACACATCTTACCGCTCAAGTATTGGAAGTTTAACCACTACTAAGACTGCTTCTACATTTTTCCTGTGGCTTGCAAACTACTCACAACAATGCAGTACAACACTAAAGCCTTATGTATATTTGTAATTATAAATGCATACTGTTCTGTTCATTTAAAAAAAAAAAAAAAGGAAAAGCTTTGTTAAAAGATCGTTTCAAAATAAGATGCCACCGTTAAGCAAAGTGGGGGAAATAGTAATCCCTAGTTAAACACATCTTAAATCAACTGTTCAATCAGAAGAGACGCCTTGAGGTCAGTATAAGTTGCTGCTAATATTTAATGAACTAATGTCTGGTTTATTGTAAACAACTTTTGAAAACTGTATTCCCTGCCCTTCCCTTCCTATTCTCCCCATTGTGCTTCATTTTGTTCAACAGAGCTCTGATCTTGTTCAACTCACGTGTTCTACCGAGAACAAAATTCAATGAAAACTGCACTATTTCATCCAAAAGAAATTTGAGTTCCTATCATTTATTTTTTTCGGTGCTGTTATCAGTGATTTTTATTTCTAAAGCTCAGTAGTGTTGCTAGAATCACATTTTACTTCATGTGGTTTTCAAAGTGTTCTGGAAATCTATTTCCCAATTTCAGCACATATGGAGGGGGGTGATGAATGTTGCATATTAAGCTTTGCCAGGTTCCTGATGAGCCAAGCTTCTGATGGGCAGCGCGCTTTAGGCTCCCGCCCCCGTCTCTCCAGACTGCACCATTCTCTGGTCCCCTGGACTCTTCTTTTGTAATTCTAAATGAATGATGCGTCTCAGCTTAGCCCAATA